ATAAAATTTAGGATATTACATCTAAAATACTTACTTATATTATCAAAATTATATATCAATAAGAGTGACAAATTAGTTTTAAAAAATAAATATAAATACTTTAAGATAATTTATTAATTTTCATAATCTCCTCAAATAAATCAATTAGATCTTATACTAAAAATTGAATATAGTATTTTATATTTTTATTTGACCCTTGATCCAACCTTAATTGCGTGTTTAATCCTTATCTTTCAAAAAAGGCCGAATGTTGCAATCCCTCCGTTTTTTTATATGAGCAACAACCATTATTCATTCTTTGTTCTTAAATATATGTAATATTTGTAAATTATTTTAAATTTTGTTGTCACAAATTTCCTATTTTGCCTTACATTTATTTTTTATTTTCCAAAATATATTTTCTGGATAATAAATGTTTTGAAGATTATATTTTAATATAATCTCTCTCCATCACACATTCTCTCTTTTATAATTCTTTTTATTATAATAATTTTTTATTCTCCTTTTTATACTCTTTTCTTTATAAATAATGTTATTTTACAGGGAAATTTTTTTAATTTTTACATATTTATTATTTTTAATTAATTTTGATGAACTTTTTTATTTATATGATTTCGTGAAAGGTTCTAAAAGGTGGACGGAGGGAGTAATAGATTTTTCTTGTGCATTGAGTAAGACTCTAGAACGTAGCGACAGAATAATTTTCTATCACTAATTCTGTCGGTAATGAGCTTTTTTTTTTTTTTTTGTAGTGAATGAGGGTAAATCATGGCCAAGAAAAACACTCTTAGCCAATAGAAACTAAGGACAAGGATTTCGTTGGTCAATATTTAAAAATTGCGATCTAATGTCATTAATTAGCCAAGTAATTTTCACTTGACGAAAAAAGCCAACCGCTCATTCTTCCTCTTACTAATTTTTGGCCCGGAGGAGAAGAAAAGAAAGAAAGAAACAACACTTTCATCCAATCAAAACAAATTAAAGCACATGCATTCTATTTTATGGATTGAGAGTTGGCAGATAAGTGTCTGGACATTGACTCGGTGAATGCAACTTTCAGGTCGCTGGCCGGAAGGGTGGGTCGAGTCGTCTATTACCCAATAATTTTGTACAAGAAAATTGGAGTGAAAAAAAAATTTTATTGAGCTAAATTTAAAAAACTGAAAAGTGAAGCTGTGAAATTTTGATAAAAAGAAGATGTAAGAAAAAGGAAGAAAAAGATTTAACCAAAGGCTTTTTAACTCTGTTGAGCTGATTAAAATTCTCTTCTTTTTTCCTTCTCTATTTTCCTTGTACCACACAGGTCCCTAATGAATACAACTTTCATGTGGGTTTTGGTGACCGGAGGGGAGGTGTGGGGACTGAAGTTTTGACGAATCTTCCTACGTCGGATTAGTATGAGAAATAAAGACAATATTGTCTTCAACTTTTTGAGTGAGTGTTCTAATCTGATCCTTTTGTATACCATTTCTTATAAATTTAAATTTACATTTACAACATTTATCACGTATAGTTATCATTAAACGTATCGAAGATTTTAATTAATGGTTTTAAATATTTTTCCATTATATTAATATTTAAATATAAGGGTTAAACTAAAACTTAAACATAACGTTGTCATGACACCCTACATAAGAGAAAGCTATAACATGAACAAGATATACAATGGTCATGAAGGTCGTCGTAACGTCAATTATTAGCACTAAGTAAGAAAATAAAAGAAAGAAAGAGACAAGAACAAGCGGGTTTTAATTAATATCGTCCGCTAAAATATTCATACGACCAAAAGACACATACCTATGGAATGCTATTAAGAAAGTGACCTCATGAGATGATAAAAATAATTCATAGTGATGGAACACACAATATTCCACTCTCGCAGCAGACCACATGTATCTTATCTGTATAGTTGCATTCACATGAATTGTTTTATGCATATAAAGCGTAAAGGTCTCCCTAACGCTGAAGTTAAGTTGAATCGGGTGATCAAGTACGAGATTTATCGTTTTGGATTGCCTTTGATTGAAGTTCTGGCTAGTTGCAATGGCATATTCGGGCTCTGTTGAAATAAGGTTAGATGTGGCAGCTGAAGCGAACCCCAACGAAAACATGGGAGATAGTTTGGAGCAAGAGGAAGAGAACAGGAGCAGAGATAGGTTGGCCACATTTTCTTCTTCCTTTCCTTGATGCGTAAGATCATGCCACCTTCGTACTTTTAGAAACTCATGGATTGTCCTTCACAACAACAACTTATTTTAATTAACTTTTACTCTTCTATTAATATCTGCTTAATCTTCTCCAAATGCATTTTGGAGATTATTTGGCCTTATGATGAATGTGAAACTATAAAGAACTCACATTTATTAGGAAGTGACTAGCCAACTTTTTTTTTTTCAACCAGAAATTTGATCTCTAAATATTTTACTTTATTTTTTCCCCAAAAACAGCCCTATTTATGGGTTAAACCATATAAAATATTCACTTAGCTAAAATTTCCATTTCTATGGCGTGAAAATATTCTGATCTTTTCCAATTTTCCAAGTCCTCCTTATATTTCCATTTCTATGGCATGAAAATATTCTTATCATATTAATTTCAAAATAATTTTTCCTATTTTCCCCAAGTTTTTGAATCCTCCTTATCTTTTTTGTAATTGAGTTTGACTAACTATTCTGTAATCAACCAAAGTTCTAATAATTATTTTTAAAAATTTTGAGGTAATTTTTCTCATTTATTTGGTCCCAGCCATTAGTCTCTTTTTTTCTTAGTCTACGGGGATTATTCTAAAATGTTATGCATATATTTTAAAATTACCCTTCCTTATAATTTTTGAAAATGACGCTTTGCCCTAACTCAAGACGGATGTAATCCGATGGCGTATAGGTTTGTTTACTACTACCTATTAGTCCTTAATATAAGACCCATTTGATTAATTTGAGAAAATTAAAAAAGTACTAAATTACTTAATTATACTATATATTACATGATATTTCTAAAATACTTACCTATATCATTAAATTATATATCAATTTATAAGAGTGACAAATTAGTTTTTTTAAAAAATAAATATAAATACTTTAAGATAATGTACTAACTTCCATAATCTCCTCAAATAAATCAACTAGATCTTATATTAAAAATCAGAGATAGTATTTTGTATTTTTTATTTGACCCTTGATCCAACCTTAATTGCATGTTTAATCCTTATTTTTCAAGAAAGGCCGAGTGTTATAATCTCTCCGTCCTTTTATATAAGCAACAACCACCATTCATGCTTTATTCTTAAATATATGTAATATTTTCAAATTATTTTAAACTTTTTGGTAACAAATTTCCTGTTTTGCCTTCATTAAAGACTTATTTACATTTATTTTTTATTTTCCAAAATATACATTCTAGATGATATATGTTTTGGAGATTATGTTTGTAATATAATCTCTCTCCATCGCACATTCTCTTTTTTATAATAATTTTCTCATTCTTTTTTTTATACTCTCTCCTTTATAAATAATGTTATTTCATAGGAATTTTTTTAAAATTTTTATACATTTATTATTTTTAACTAATTTTAATGAACTTTTTTTATTTATGTAAGACCCTAGAACGTGTTTAAAATAATTTGAAGCCAATGTTAAAGGGAGAATGACGGGCAAATCATGGCCAAGAAGCACACTCTTAGCCAATGGAAACTAAGGACAAGGATTTCCTTGGTCAAGATTTAAAAATTATGATCTAATGGTCATTAATTAGCCAAGTAATTTTCACTTGACGAAAAAAGCCAACCACTCATTCTTCCTCTTACTAATTTTTGGCCAAAAAGAAAGAAAGAAACAACACTTTCATCCAATCAAAACAAGTCAAAGCACATGGATTGAGAGTTGGCAGACACGCGTCAGAACATCGACTGGATGAATGCAACTTTCAGGTCGCTGGCCTAAAGGGTGAGTCGAGTCGTCTATCACTCAATATTTTTGGTACAAGAAAATTGGAATGAAAAAAAATATTTTAATGAGCTGAATTTAAAGAGTTAAAAAGTGAAGCTCTAAAATTTTGATAAAGAGAAGATGTAGGATAGAAGAAAAAAAATTTAATCAAAAGCTTTTAACCCATTGAGTTCGTTAACATTTTCTTTCTTCTTCCTTCTCCATTTTCCTTGGACCAAACAACTTTCATGTGGGTTTTGGTGACCGGAGGGGAGGTTTGGGGACTGAAGTTTCGGCGAATATTCCTATGTCGGATTAGTATGAGAAATAAAGACAATATTGTCTTCAACGCTTTGAGTGAGTCTTCTAATCTGATTCTTTTATATACCATTTCTTATAAATTTAAATTTACATTTACATTTACATTTATCACATATAGTTATCATTGAGCGTATCAAAGATTTTAATTAATGGTTTTAAATATTTTCCCATCATATTAATATCTAATCTAAATATAAACTAAAACATGACGTTGTCATAACGCCCTACCTTAAAGGAAGTATAACAAGAACAAGATATGCAAAAGCCATGAAGGTCTTAACGTCAATTATTAGCACTAAGTGAAAATATAAAAGAAAGAAAGAAACAGAAAAGAACAAGCGGGTTTTAATTAATATAGTCCGCTAAAATATTTGCACGGTCAAAAGACAGATTATGGAATGCTATAAAGAAAGTGACTTCATAAGATGACCAAAATAATACATAGTGATAGAACACACAATATTCCACTCTCTCACCAGACCACAAGTATCTTATCTATGTTGTTGCATTCACTTGAATTGTTTTATGCATATAAAGCGTAAAGGTTTCGCTAACGCTGAAATTAAGTTGAAGTAGTGGGTGATCAAGTACGAGATCTATCGTTTTGGATTGCCTTTGATTGAAGTGCTCGCTAGTTGCAATGGCCCATTCGGGCTCTGCTGACATAAGGCTAGAGGTGGCTGCAACAAGTCGGCAGTCCAGTGCATTTAGCAGCAGAGTGAAGAGTGAGCTAATGGAAATGCATCACGTGATGATATGGCATTTCTTCGCAGCAACAATAGGATAGATAAATTGATGGAAACGTTGTCAAGTTCATCATTTGATGATGTACAATCTTGTGGCAATGAAATGATGCGTGAACTGATGGAAATGCAGTTCAGTTCATCGGTTGCTGATATGCCATTTTGTGGCAACATGGAACATATTATGTATTATGAGTTGTACCAGGCGGCTCGTGATGAAAATGAAGATGCAGATGGATTTGTTCATGTACTGGAGCAAGTGTGTGAGAAAAATCATGTTGACTTGGCTACTAGTTTCAATCATGTCACTCCCAGAGGTGACTCGTTGCTTCATGTTGCAGCTGAACATGGAAGTGAACAAGTTTTATGTCTTGTTGCTTTTCACTATCCTAAGCTTTTGTACAGGACAAATATGAAAGGTGATACTCCGCTTCACGTTGCTGCAAGAGCGAAGAATCTTTTGGCAATTAAGAACATTCTTGACATGGAAAAACATTTCATGACATCCCACCGGGTTAACTCTCTGGGTAAAACGGAGTTTATTATGTTACGCAGCAATTATGGGAGTACAGCTTTGCACGAAGCTGTTTTGAGCACGGATTATTCTGTGGTTCTTTTCCTTTTAGCTGCACATGAGCGAAGTGATCTGGCCACCTACTGGACTTGGAGCTATGATTTTAGCTGCAAATCGCCAATGTACTTAGCAGTTTTGATAAGGGACGAGGATATTCTTTATCTTCTCTTCAGGTTAATTCCAATCCCCTCAGGCAAAACCGTGTCAAATGGGGACTCTCCACTTCATGCTGCAATATCAGAACGGACTAAAGGTAAGCATACTCTTAAAATAAATAAGTTCATGTTTGTTTCACTTTTCCCTAATATATTTTGTTTTATCTGTGAAGATCTATTGAAAAAGATTGTTGATACTAGAAAAGAGCTACTGTATCAAAGAGATAAGAACAACAACACTCCCCTTCATTATGCAGCATACGCTGGTTACATGGAAGGAGTTTGTATAATGTTAGAAACATCTCCCATGATTGCTTTTCAACGAAACTCAGATCGTAATCTTCCAATTCATCTCGCCTGCGAAAAGCATAGAGTTGAAGTGGTCAAAAAGTTGCTTGAAATAGAGTGGTCTAATGCTGGGCTTTTCTTGAATCATAAATGCCAGAACATTCTTCACATTGCAGCAATGAAGGGACGAACTCGCTTGATAAAATATCGACTAAAGCATCCCAACATTGATCATGACACTATCAATGACAGAGATGTAAATGGAGATACTCCCTTACATTTGGCTTCAAGAGGATTGCGTCTCTGGACTCTACTCCTTCTATCACAAGACAAAAGGATCGATGTGAATCTAGTCAATAACAAAGGCTTAACAGCTCAAGATGTTGTTCAGACGCAACATAGGATTCCAGAGACACGTCAAGAGGTAAGATTGACAAATATCTATGTTTTCTTTTTTTTAACTTTCTAAAAGCTTTTGATTCCAAACACTTCTTTTCTTAATAATGGAATATAACATGTAAGCCTGTTTGATTTGACTTCCTTGCAGTTTCTAGCAAGTATAATTTTATATAATGCCATTGTGGACTTGAAGGCAAATATGCTGAGCGTGCCACTCACAAGATCCATCAATAAAGAATGGAATGTGAAGGATGCAGCCAATACACTCATACTTGTGGCCATACTCAGCCACAGTGACTTTTGCAGCTGGTTTTACAGTGCCAGGTGGGCTTTACTCAGAGGATAGCCCAATCCCAAAACAAAGGGGAATGGCACTTTTGGTGGATCAAACACTATTCAAGATATTCATGGCTTTTAACACTATTGCTGTGTATAGCTCCACCATTGGCTCTATCATTCTTCTATGGGTCCCAGTTGGAGATCGTCGTCTTGCAATATTAGTATATGTCTATGCTAGGTTATTTGTTTATGTGGCCCTTATAGCAATGCCAATTGCATTTCTGGCTGCTATGCGTTTGATTGTGAGCAATAACACTATTGTTGCAGACGTTATCAGTGTCATTGGATTCATTTCCATTTTCTTAATGATGTTTATTCGTATTTTAGGATTCATTCCACTTGGAAGTCGCCGTCCCGTACTTAAGCAAATCATAGGCTTATTTCTTAGGATCACTGTTGTTTTAATCTATGGATGCTGTGATCCTTGGTACAGTGATTTAGTCGGCAAAGCCAACCAAGTCGATCAAGATGATGCCAAAAATCAAATCAAATGAAGCTAGCATTTGCAAATTGATATCAATGACGAGGTTGCAGCCAACACTTTCCAAGATCCAGTCACAAATGTTAATCGTCATTGTTGCCCGTGCTTTTAGTTTCATGATGTTCATCTAAGATTATGTGATTCTTGCGTGTGATTTATGTATTATATGTCAACTAGTTGATGTAATCTGAGAGTAATTTTATGTGTATGAATAAAAATATCTTGTTTTAACATTTTTCAGCAAGTTGGAGAATAAAGTACCGTTGTTTCTTCTGTTCAGTTAAATATTTCGATTTTCAATAAAGCGGTAATTAAAATTGAGAGGAACAAATAAAACAAGGGGGAAAACAATTGAGAAAAAAGATAGATTTTCTGTTTGCTCAATCACGTTCTGATGATAGCAAAACTAGATAAAAAAAATTATTTTGCAAATTTTATGAGAAATTATGTAATGAAAACGATCAAGCTGAAACGATAGAAGAGAAAATTACAATATCCATCATTTTTTGTTAGGGGATCAAACGTTTGATGAAAAGGATTGTTTTACCAGATTTATTAGTCTGCTTACTATTGCATCTTTTCGTTTTTGGTAAATAGTTACTATTGTACATTTGCTCCAATTTTTCTTGAACTAGATTCAAATAAAGAGAATCAGATTTTGTTACCAGTAATAATAGACAAGAGCATGGTGAGAAGGTTAAAGGTTAGCTGCCCTGGTCACAACACCACTCACCATACTTATATGAGATCCTGAATTCGAGTTTGGTGTTGGCATATTTGTATATGCATATGTATTTAATTATACTCCTCTGGTCCTTAATATAAGAACTAATTGTTGAGTTAATTTTGGTTTTAAATATAAGATCTATTTATCATATTTATCAATTTTTTTTAAATTATCTCTATGAATACTCCCTTAACTATAATCAAGTAGAAGAGGGAGGAAAAATATTAAAAAAGATGATTATGGTATTTTAGGAAAAACATGTCAATTTTTATAATTAACTAACTTTCATAATTTTTTTAATCTAATTAACTTAATTAAATAGGTTTTGTATTAAGGACTAGAGGAGTATTAAACAATTAATAGAAAAAAACAGAGAACAATTGGAAAGTTTTCGCAGGAATTCTAGTTTGTTTTATTCATGTCCACCGTGTTCAGGCCTTGATCCAAGTATAAAGCAAAATAAATGAGCTGGGACCATCTTATGCATCTTGATTCACAGCATGATCAAAATCAATTACCATGGGAATCATAACAATCATCCGACTACAAAAGGCAAATCAGAAATAGAACAGAAAACAAAAATATTGGACTCGTATAATCCTGAATTTGAGCGCCAACTGTACACAGCTCAGAGTGAATCAAACATTTGTTTATACCTAAACTATGCACCCACAAGGGATTGTGCTATTTTATTATTTGTGAATTTGTGATGGACCTGAGAAGATGAGAAATACCCCATATCATATAAATATAGAAAATGGTTTGAGTTTTGATAGCAGTTATAAATTGTTGTGTGTGGATATGTCTTTTTATTGTTTCCACTGAATACCGCACTGATAAAGTCGGCATGCACTGGCACCAGAAGCCCTTATCACAAGGGTGCGAGGCATGATGCCAACTACAATTTAATACGTGAAAATTTGCTTTAATACGTGATGGTTCAACACACATGAACACAATGCCTAGACTGAACGATAAAAATGGACCCAGCCGTTGAGACAAGTGCACGTATAAACTAGTTCCAAGAACAGAAGATGTCAAAAATATATAAGCACTAGCATAAAGGAATGGAAAATTGTAATGCAGGGCTCAACAAAAAAAGGTCGAAATTCATACTTGGTCCAATCCTAATTCTTTGGAGTGGCATAAAATTCAAATCTAGGAAACCCTTTGCACTGACACACGAGGAGTGGAGATCGACATTGGACCATCCATGGGGATAGAGAAAAGAAAACATGTCTGCACCAGATCTGCAACAACTTCATAATAGTCACTCTGGACCTAAGAAAAACAAGTGAGAACAAATATTGTATGAGAAGCCAACATCATTAGCATAAGCACATAGAAAGAACTTAATGGTGATATCGTGAGTCAGCTCTCATCTCCAGTTTTCACAGAGACTTGACACAGGACACTAAATTAACGTTTCTATTGCAAACGCGACAAAGACACTAGATGAACTTTCACCATGAAGTGGGGAAAAAGCGGAAAACCCCTACTAAATGAACGAATCTTTCAGCCAAGGCAACATGAAGAGGCTTCAAACCAATGCCCAATTATTCTTAACCAAACCAAAAAAAAAAAAAAAAACGCTATCCTCAAAATCTAACCTTCCTTCAAGAAAATAATGAAATCCTCAAGATTATTGGGTTATTCAACACCACAGAAAAGAAGTGGCATCAAGCATGAGAAATTAAAAATGTGCAGTTCATCAACTAAATTAAAGCTGTTAGCACTCCATATGTCAAAAAATAAATACCTTTGTGATTGTAGGCGAATGCTGTATAGAAGGGCTCAGATTTATAGTTTCTGAAGTTCCCAGTGTTATTGAGAGTTGCATAAGCATATAGAATAGTGTTTGAAAAATCTCAAGCATCAACCGCAACATAGTCAGCTTAAAGCTCCACAGTTTGTAGGCAAACCTCAAGGCATCTCTAGCTCCCTCTTCATGAAAGAAAGTTAGAGCTCCACCTATCTGTAACATGAAATTGTTCAGGATTCGTTATAATAATGTTTGCTTGAACAAAATTGAAACAAACCATACGTGATTTTATTCCCATGTCACTGAAGTAATAATAGTTCGTGTTAAAACTCCTTTTAATATACGTAATCAATATAAACAGTTTCAGAAAAAAGAATTTATGAATATAAATGATAGAGTGAATTAAAATTTTATATGTAGAAAAGAATCCAACATTTCTTATAACTCCTATATTAAAGATTAGGTGGAGTGTTAAAAAAAAAAACATTCGTACTAATAATAAAACACTAATTAGCTACGCTCCTTTTTTTTCCCCCGGGAGGCTGGAATCAGCTAGGCTCCTATACAATTTTTATTTGCATACAAGTTTAAAAATCTTGAGTTCAATTAGCTGCAAATTCCAAATGCTAAATTTAAATGATTTTTTATTTCATTAAAAGAAATTACAGCCTTGATAACTAATCACATTTTGTCTTATTGTTATTAGTTCATCAAGCTCCAAACTCCAAATGACAAACTGAAATATTTTTCATTCAACTTCTTTTTCATTCTCTTCCTCAATATCGATTCGAACCACACTCGTCAAAGTAAAAGAGAAGCTAATATTTTTTTAACTCATGGAAGATTATTTTGAAACCAGGAGTTTCACTTTTCTTTTTCTTATTATAAAAATTTCATTTCGTTATTTAAGTATTCATATAAAAACAAATTTAACTTCATTATGCTTCCTTTTTTTACATCCGATACATAATTTGCTGAATCAAATTAAAAATTTCATTTCATTTCAAACATGCATGTTCTCTTTTCTTTTCTTTTCTTTTTTCCCCTTCTTTTTCATATTTCTCTTCCTTCAAGAAAAGAAAAGCTCTTTAAATATTCATTTTCTGGGGCCCCCCACTCGGAAATAATTTGGTATTCATTATCTCTACAAGATGGATCTGTATAATAATGCCCAGAGGCCATATGGTGTCGTCCTCAGTGTTCTCCAACAAATTAAAGATCCACACTCACTCACTCTCTCTCTGCCTACCTACTGGGTTAAGGAAATTACTCCCTGCAACTTGGACTCCAGACTGTTCATCCAACATAACAGGCCATTTTCTGAGAACAGACTACTTCCAAGGTCGGAAGTCCTCTCTCTCTCTCTCTCTCTCTCTCTCTCTCTCTCGTTTTTGAAGAAATGGAAGCTTAGTTTAACTAGGTTTGGTGTTGAATAGACATAAGCTCTGTATTTTCTTGCTTTCTTCTTCTTCTTCTTAATGATCCATGTTTCTATTTCCTTAAATTCTACTGCTGGCACTGGAAAGTGGACCCCATTATTCTCAGTATCTCTTGTTAGTTCAGCTGCTTAAACGATATTATCATCTCGTAGGGTTTTGATCCTTTTATTTTCTGTTAATAAGTTTTTATTTTACCCCTACAACAATAGTATTATCTTATTCCATGGAGTTAGTTACATGAGTCTATGTTGTATTAATAATTAAATATTTAAATGGCTTTTTGAGACAAATGCTGTAAACAATAAAATTAATTATCGGGACACCCCACCATGAAAATTATTTATCAATTATCAGGATACTGCATCTAAAATCCTTCTAAGCACACGCAATTTTAGAAAAACAAGGAACGTGTTCTTCGCAAGAATGAGTTCTGCACCTTTTTCGTTTTTGCAATAATTTTTTTTATAAAAAAATGCTGCCACCTTTTCCCCTAGTGCTTGATCCCCGCTCCTTTTCTCCACGCTACCCCTCTCTCCTCAAACAGAATGAGTTTGGCTGTTCATAAGTTTTGATAAGCACCCAATACACATCAGATCTGGACCATCCAAATCCGATTTAGACGGTTCAAATTTATTTTTATTTTTATTTTTATTTTTGTAAAATAATTATTTTAATAGGTATAGAATAAAAAAATAAAGATGATTATCATTCTTAAAAAAATAATTTTTTCTATTTTAAATTATTAAATCTAGATCTGGACGGTCCAATTGCTCATCAAGTAATGAGAGCACCAAAACCGGACCCCTCCTCAAACACGTTCCTTCCCACCTCACTTTTTCCCTCATCTGAGGCAGCGACTGGTAGAAAGGGCACATGGTAGCTTCTAAGAGATTCCTCTTTAAAAATATCAGATTAACGATCGAAAAGGTTCCATCACTAAATTAGTGATGCAAATTTTCTATCAATAATTAATGATAGAATATTTTTATCACTAATTCTTTGCTAATCTAATTAGCAACAGAATAATTGGCAACAAAAATTTTTGTTGTTAATTAGATTCTGTGGCTAATTACTTCTTTTTTTTTGCATTGCATGATTATTAAATTCATGCCTAATTTATATATAATAAAATTTGTAGAAACTAAAATTAGATGGATTGATTAACAATTTAAAATTTTAATATTTCATTATAATAATTTAATTTTTATCATATTTAGTACTAATTTTTTTCTAATAGCATCCATTATTCTAAGGTAAAATTTTAGGATAGTACAATGGGTGCTACTAGAAAAAACTTCAGGTACTAAATATACCACTACATGGTGGAAAATACTCACCTAAGTAGCTTCCATTATCCTAAAGTAAAATTTTGTGTTATTCTGTGCTTAAAGTATTTTTCTAAATAACGAGTATCCCAAACTTAAGATATTGAATGCTACTAAAAAAATTCTTAATTTAAGGTACATTAGAATGCTAAAAACAATATTCTCTCGGTCTCTTTTTATAAGCAATATTGGACTAAATCATGTAGATCAAAAAATTAATTAAAATTGGTTAAAAACAATAAATGTATAAAAAATGAAAGTTTTCCTCCAAAATACTCTTATTTATAGGGGAGAGGGTATAAAAAAGAGAATAAAAAATTAATATAATAAAGAATAACAAGAGCTATAAGAGAGAGAATGTGTGATTGAGAGAGATTATATAAAAAATATGATTTTCAGAACATTTATTATCTAGGAAATGATGTTTTGGAGAAAAAATAAATATATTAACTATTAAAATAAGTCTTTAATAGTGGCAAAATAGGAAATTTGCTACAAAAATTTAAAGCAACTTGTAAATGTTGCTTATACTTATGAATAAGGAGGAGATGGTGATTGTTGCCTATAAAAAAGAACTGAGAAGGCACTTAATATACTTAGCGTGCCACCATTTTTATAAAAAATTTATTTGAAACAGCAAAGATACAGAACTGGTTCTTTCCTTGTATTTTTAAAATTGCACTAGCTAAGAAGGATTTTAGATGCAGTATCCTAGAAAATAATTTTCAGTGTAATATCCTGATAATTAATTTTACTGCTTATAGCATTCGACTCAAAAAGTCCTTTAAAAGATTACCAAAAAAAAGTCATATTGATCCAGCCTAACAAAATATCATTTATCTAATTATCAGCATAGTTTCATTGACTTGGAATGTTTAATACACATAAAGCATAAAGTTTTCCCCAATGCTGGAACTAAGGTGAACGCGGGGTGATCAATTAGGAAGATTTATTATACGTTGTGGATTGCATTTGATTGAAGCGCTAGGTAGTTGCAACGGACGGTTCGGACTCTGTTGAAATAACCTTCAATGTTGCTACTGAACCGACGTCAAACGGGAAGATGGGAGATATTTCGGAGTAGGAGGAAGCAGAGAACATGAACAAACTAAATAGACCAACAACGCGGCAGTTCAGCACATTTAGCAGCAAAGTAATGAATGAGCTTATGGAAATGCAGTCTGGCCATGATATGGAATTTCTTCGTAGCAACAAAAGGATAGATAATATGATGGAAATGTTGTCAAGTTCATCAGTTGATGATGTACAATCTTGTGGCAATGAAGAGATGCGTGAACTGATGGAAAAGCAGTTCAGCTCATCGGTTGATGATATGCCATTTTGTGGCAACCTGGTATATTATGAAGTATGAGTGGTACAAGGCGGCTTGTGATAAAAATGCAGATGCAGATAGATTTGTTTATGCACTAGAGCAAGCGTGTGAAGAAAATCATGTTGACTTGGCCACCATTTTCAATCAAGTCACTGCCACAGGTGACTCGTTGCTTCATGTTGCAGCTGAACATGGGAGTGAACAAGTTTTATGTCTTGTTGCTTTTCACTATCCTAAGCTTTTGTACAAGAAAAATATGAAAGGAGACACTCTGCTTCATGTTGTTGCTAGAGCTTTGAATCTTTGAGCGATCGATAAAATTCTCAGCTTGGATAAACATTTCATGACATCTGAGGGGGCTGAATCTATGGACAAAGTGGAGTTTATTATGTTACGCAACAATTATGGGAGGACAGCTTTGCATGAAGCTGTTTTGAGCAAGGATTATTCTGTGGTTCTTTTCCTTCCAGTTGCACATAAGCGAAGTGATTTGGCCACGTACTGGACCTGGAACTATGATTTTAGTTGTAAATCGCCAATGTATTTAGCAGTTCTAATAAGGCACGAGGATATTCTTTGTCTTCTCTTGAGGTTAATTCCAATCTCCTCAGGCAAAACTATGTCAAATGGAAACTCTCCACTTCATGCTGCAATATCAGAACGGACTAAAGGCAAGCATACTCTTGAAATAATTAAGTTCATGCTGTTTCACTTTTCCCTAATATATTTTGGTTTTTTTGTGAAGATCTATTGAAAAAGATTGCTGATACGCAAAAAGAGCTACTGTATCAAAGAGATGAGAACAACAACACTCCCCTTCATTATGCAGTGTACTCTAGTTACATGGAAGGAGTTTGTATAATGTTAGAAACATCTCCCATGATTGCTTTTCAACGAAACTCAGGTGGCAATTTTCCAATCCACCTCGCCTGTGAAAAGGGCAATGTTAAAGTGGTCAAAAAGTTGCTTGAAATAGAGTGGCCTAGTGCTGGACTTTGGTCAAATCATAGAGGTCAGAACATTTTTCATATTGCAGCAATGAAGGGAAATGTTCAAGTGATAGAATATCTACTGAAGCACCCCAATATTCATCATGATGCTATCAATGAGATTGACAAAAGGATCGATGTGGCTTCAAGAGAATTGTGTATTCGGACTCTACTCCTTCTGTCAAAACACAAAAGGATCGATGTGAACCTAGTCAATAACAAAGGTTTAACAGCTAAAGATGTTGTTTGGATGCAATGTAGAATTCCAACGACACGTCACGAGGTAAGATTGACAAGCATCTGTCTTCTTTCTATTAACTTTTAATAAGGTTTTAATTCTAGAGACTTCTTTTCTTACTAATAGAATATAACATGTAAGCCTGTTTGATTTGACTACCTTGCAGTTTCTAGCAAATGCAAGTTTACATAATGCTGGTGTGGACCTGAAGGCAAATATGCTGAGCATGCCACTCACAACATCCATCAATAAAGATTGGAATGTGAAGGATGCAGCCATCACAGTCATACTTGCTATGTATAGCTCCACCACTGGTTCTGTCATTCTTCTGTGGGTCCCAACGGGAGATAATCGTTTCGCAACAGTAGCATATGTGCATGCTACGTTCTTTGTTTCTTTGGCCCTTATAGCAATGTCCGTTGCGTTTCTAGCTGCTATACACTTGATCGTTAGCAATAACACTATAGTTGCAGATGTTATAAGTGTCATTGGATTCATCTTCATTTTCGTAATTATATTTTATCGTATTTGAGGATTGCTTCCACTTACAAGTCGCTGTCCCGTGCTTCGTCAAATCATAGGCTTAGTTGTTAGGATCGTTGTTGTTTTATTCTACGCAGGCTATAATATTTTGTATAGCAATCTTGCAGGCAAAGCCAACCAATTCGATCAAGATCATGCCAAGAATCAATTAAATGATTATGATACTTTCTCAGGTCCAATTACAAATGTTCATCATCCGCTTTTAAGATTCTCGTGATGATTATTCTTATTGTCAAGGTCCTGAGATTGAGGAAGATCGAGAAGGGATTGGTTAATGTTTTTTTTGTTCTTTTGTGCATGCATCTGCCGTTTGGCTTATGTTATGGCGTTTATGAACTTTGCTTCTGGTACTTCACGTTTAGTTGAATGAAAGTTCTCTCTTCAAGATGTTGATCTCTTTTTTTTTTTTTAAAGATGTTGATCTGAAATTATGTGATTCTTGCGTGTGATTTATGCATCATACATCACTTACGCAGAGTGCATGTAACCCGAGTGTAATTTTATGCGACTATGAATAAATATCTCTTGTTTCTACATTCGTCAAGCAAGTTGGAGAATGAAGTATGGTTATTTCTTCTTTTCAATGAAAAGTTTCCGCTTTTTAATAAAGTGGTAATAAAAATTGACGGGAACAAGTATACCAAGGGAAAAAACAATTGAGAGAAAATAGACGTGAAAAATAATAGAGTTTTTCTTTGTTTAATTACGGTGATAACAAAACGAGATTAAAAATTATTAGAAGAGAAAATTACAATATCTACAATTTTTTTGTTACAGTATCATCCAACTACAAAAGGAAAATTAGAAATAGAACAGAAGATAAAAATATTATGCTCTTATAATCCTGAATTTCAGCACCATCTGTACACAACTTAAAGTCCAATATCTGGGTTTAGTAAAAATCCCAAGTATTCTACACCTGATTAATACAGAAATTCAGTTCAAAGCTTGCGCATTGAGCTTCACAGATACTTAACAAACCTAAAATAGTGGATTGTATACATTTCATCTTCTTCACTCAAACTGCAGAAACGCAAGTGGATTAAACTGCTTTTTGAGTAACTTTATTCAAAAGAGAGAATACCAGGATGATGTTTTCCATTTCTAAGTTTGGTTCATTCAAAGAAAATTGGGAAATTGGATTAGGACAAACAGAATTTGATGTAGTGATTTGCAAGAGAACCAAGCTACTTACAGCATTGGTAGGGGAGAGCTCAGAGTGAATCAAACATTTGTTCATACCTTTAATTATGCAGCCACAAGGGATCCAGAGAGACAGGTTTCTCACTTCTTGTCCCAGAAGTCCTAGATGGAGGCTCGTGCACTGTAATCGGAAGAACCCATTCACATTTTTCTCTTCTTCATACCTGAAGTTCAGAAACCAAATGACTTAAAATACAATCAATGGCTAATTCAACAAAATTGGTAACAAACCATGCATGATTTTTATTACCATATCACTGAAGTAATAATAGTTTATGTTAAAACTGTTTTTAATATAGGTAATCAATATAAATAGTTTCAGAAAGAATTTATGAATATAAATGATAGAGGGAATTAAAATTTTAATTTAAAATAGAATCGAACATTTTTTATGACTCTTATATTAAGGACTAAATGGAGTACTAAAAAAAAGAATACTTTCGTATTAATAATACGACACTAATTAGCTAGGCTAAAAAAAAAAAGAATACTTTCGTATTAATAATACGACACTAATTAGCTAGGCTCTCCCCACGGGGAAGGCTGCAATCGGCTAGGCTCCTATCTTTTATTGAAATTAGGAAAAAATCAATTGGCATACAATTTTTATTTGCATACAAGTTTAAAAATCTTGAGTTGAATTAGGTACAAATTCCAAATGCTAAATTCAAATAATTTTTTTATTTCATTAAAAGAATTTACACGCTTGATGTCTAATCACATTTTCTCTCATTGTTATTACTTCATCAAGCTCCAAATGACAAACTGAAATCCTTTTCATTCAACTACTTTTTTCATCCTCTTCCTCAATATTAATTCGAAATACACTCATCAAGCAAAAGACATGCTAATATTTTTTAACCCATGGAAGATTATTTTTAAACCAGGAGTTTCATTTTTCTTCTTGTTATTATAAAAATTTCATTTCGTTATTTAAATATTCATATAAAAACAAATTTAACTTCATTATGTTTCCTTTTTTTACTTCTCAAACATAATTTGCTGAATCAAATTAAAATTTTCATTTCATTTCTAGCATGCATGTTCTCTTTTCTTTTCTTTTCTTTTTCATATTTCTCTTCCTTCAAGAAAAGAAAAGTTTACTGTTGGTACGAAGGAAATGGAGGGAAGGGGGAAATTTTTTTTTAACGAGTTCTGTTTAAAAAATTGGAAAAGTAGGGTTTTAAAATTTTAATAAAAAGAAGAAGTAACATGAAAAATAGTAAAAATTAAAAAGAAGTAATATAAAAGAGTAATAAAAATTAATTAAAAGTTTTTAACCCCACTTTTCCAATTTTTTGAATAGAGCTCATTAAAATTTTTCCTCCCTTTCCCTCCTCTCATTTTTCCCTCATACCGACCCTAGAAATAATTTAGTATTCATTATCTCTGCCAGATGGATCTATGTAATAAACTAATAATGACCAGGGGCCATGCGGTGTCGTACCTTCCCCACTATCCAACGGTGGTAACCCGTCTGTACCTTCCCCGCATCATTCATCATCTTCACATTCAATAATCATGTACTGTTTATTTCACCGATGCTCTTTAGATTCTAATTATTCAATTTTTTTATTTTCTTTATTTTTATTAATTAATTTTATCAATTAATAAATAATTAAATATTACTAATTCTAATTAATTATTTATTATTGTTTATTTCTATTATACTATATTCTAATTAGATATAAATATAATAAAAATTAGAATATAATTATACTATTCTAAAATTGATTCTAAAATGAAAATATTAATTTCTATTAATACTATTTTAATTAATATTATTTATATTAATAAATTAATTAAATTAATTTTTATTAATTTGAATTAATATTCTTTTGATTCCATTTTTTCTACTTAATTAGATTCTTATTTATTATATGCACTCATACTCATTTAGATATACTTAGTATGTTCCAGCTTTGCGATTTCAATCGCCTTCTGCGGATTCGGTAGTCGCCGCGCTATTACCTCATGCCCGATTTCGGGTTTGAGCCCTCCAGTGAAACAACCATGCAAGGCCTCATCAGATTCTCCCTCTGTCCGATTTGCCAAGGCCATGAGTGGTTCTGCATCAGTTTGAAGAGCTTGGATCTGGGTTGTTCCATTAGTGATGGCCCAAACTCTGCTTCCCGGGCTTTAGTCAAAGAAGCCTAATTGTAGATCACCTTGGTCTTCTGCAAAGTGAAACCGGGGGATTACATCTCCCTCCATGTTGATGGCTGCCGGTACTAGACGATGAGGTTCTGAGACTTCATGGTACGAGAAATACTGCTCTGCTAGAAAAATCCAATTCTGGGAATCAGTCCCATCGAATTTCGAGAAGTCAACTTTCATTTGCTTGGCCTGGTATGATTGATTATTCGACCCTCCTACGTACGACCCTCTATTGTAAGATATGTTCCGCCTGACATCACCAACTGATTTAAACGCTCTAAATTGCGTTGCTGTAGTTCAAGCTCCTTACTCATCCCGGCGTAAGCTGCTTCCAGCTGATTAATCTTATCGAATCGTGAATCTGGGTTTCGAACCATGGCCTCTGTGGCAGACTCAATGCGGTCTAATCGTCCATTATTATTGGCCTTCAGTTTGTCAATCTTCAACTCATGTTGTTTCACCATCTTACCGATGCTCTTTAGATTCTCGGCAACCATCGATTCATGCTGCTTCATCCGCTTGCACAGAGCCTTAAACTCGTTTTGCAAATCCTTGAACCTGGTAGCCTCTGCCATTGTCTAAATTCTCTCAACGAGAGCACCAAACAGTTATGGTTTCAAATGCAATAGGGAAATGAATCAAACAATACCACGAATATTATTGATGAGTCCTCATGCAATGGAATACAATCGGATAGCTACGCTAGAACTACAGAATTTGGAAGAGCTGCAAATAATAGAAATAACAAAGAAATAACAGAAGGAATACCACGGAGGGTCCAGAGAGAGAATCACAGATACAGAAAGAGAGAAATCACGTCACACCACATTCTTACCCTCTCTCCTCTCACGACACACTATTTATTCTCTTAATTTCCGTGTGGCCTGCCTTGTTCTCTGGCTGCGCCTTACATTCGGCCATTACTTATATTGTTCAGCCCATTATCTGCTCTATTGCTTCCTTCAGTCATGACAAGTTCATCAATTGATGATGGACAATCTTGTGGCAATGAAAGGATGCGTGAAGAATGGAATGTGAAAGATGCAGCCAATTCACTTGCACTCATGGCCGTGCTGATAGCCACAGTGACATTTACTATTGGTTTCACAATGCCAGGTAGGTTTGACTCATCAGATGGTCCAATCCTAAAACAAAAGGGCTTGGCAATTTTGGCTGATCAAACACTGTTCAAAATATTCATGGCTTTCAATACTATTGCCGTGTACAGTTCCAGCATTGGTTCTGTCATTCTTCTATGGGTTTCTCTGGGTGATCTCCGTTTTGTAGAAGGACCATATAGACTTGCTCAGTTCTTTGTTCATGTGGCCCTTGTAGCAATGCCCATTGCATTTCTAGCTGCCATATGTTTGATTGTAAGCAATAACACTTTGCTTGCAATTGTTATAACTGTCATCGGATTCATCTCGATTTCCTTCATCATATTTATTGGTATTTTAGGATCGTTTCCACGTAGATATATTCATTCTCCTGTATCTCGACAAATCGCAGACATACTTATTAGGATCATTGTCGTTTTATTTTGTTGATGGAGGGATGCTTTAATTTTCAGATACAAATGTTAGGAATGTTCATCGGTGTAGCCCATGCCCTTAGTTTTCATGATGTTCATCTAAAATTGCTATTCTTAAATGGGATTTATGTATGATATATACTTGTTTTGACACTTGTTTGGAGAATAAGGCATGGTTATTTCCTCTTTTCAAACAAGAAGAATCAGATTTTGTTAGTCAACTACCTACTATGCTTAATATAAAACTCAGTTAACTAATTTGTTAAGATTAATTAAGAAGGCTAAATAAATTACTTAAACAATTTATATATATATTATTTTTCTTCAAACTAACTGTTTGACTTATATATAAAATTTTAGAGAGACTGTGTAATATATTTTATAATTAAGTAATTTATTTAGCTTTCTTTGTCTTTGTAAATTAGTAACTATTTATATATATTATTTTTCTTCAAACTAATTTGTTTGACTTGTATATAAATATTTTAGAGAGACTATGTAATATATTTTATAATTAAGTAATTTATTTAGCTTTCTTGATCTTTGTAAATTAGTTAACTATGTCTTGTAGTATTAACAGGAGAGAATAGCTAGAAAGTTTTATTCATGTCTCCTTTTTTTTTTTCCGCCAGAAAGTTTTATTCACATCTACACTCTACAGTGTTTAGTCTTGATCCAAGCATAAAGCAAAATAAATGAGATAATATCTATAAAATTTACACTACAAAAAAACACCTAATTACTGACGGAATAATTTCCGTCGCTAATTTCTGACGGATTACCCACGAAAATTCCGTCGCTAAACTTAGCCACGGAATTAGCGACGGAATACAATCCGTCGCTAATTAGCCACGGAATTTTTTCCGTCAGAAAATTCCGTGGTTAAATTTTTATAATTAAAATTAGCCACGGAATTAGCCACGGAATTTATTCCGTCAGAAAATTCCGTGGCTAATTCCGTGGCTAAAGTTTTATAATTACGATTTGCGACGGAATACTTTTCCGTGGCTAATTTAGCCACAGAATTAGCGACGGAAAATTATTCCGTCGCTAATTTCCGTGGCTAATTCCGTGGCTAAAATATAATATATAATATAATATAATAAATATATAATTAAATTCTATATCTTATAAATATTAAATAAAAGAATTAAATTTAAAAAATATATTTATGAAAAAATTATTTATTATTTAAAATTCAAAATTAGTGTCATTGGAAATTAATATTATATTTAAAATAATTTTTAAAAAAAATAAAGCATTATAAAATAAATAGTAAAACAAATATCTAAAAATTATTTTGTTACAAAAATAGTTATAATTAAAATTATATAGTTTATTTTTAGTTTCTAATAATATATATGTGTATAAATAATTATTTGTGTAAGAGAATATTATATATATATATATATTTAATTTTGTATAATAAGTTAGTAAGTTCATTGCAGCTCAACTGGTGAAGTCGCGCGCGTGCACAAGCGAGGTCTTTGGTTCGAGCCGTGGAGAAGTCACTTTGAAAAGGAATTATATGGTGACGACATGTGGCAATACAAGATGGCATGTGAGATAGCAACACGTGGCGGCAGAGGTGAGGTGGCAGGGACACGTGGCGGTGGAGCTGAGGTGGCAGTGACATGTGGAGATGAGATGGCAACGACACGTGGAGGAGAAGGTGAGGTGGCACTGACACGTGGAGATGAGGTGGTGACATGTGGCGGCCAAGGTGAGTGGCATTTTAATTTTTTTTTAAATATTAGCGACGGAATCAGGAATTCCGTCGCTAATTACCGACGGAATCAGAATTCCGTCGGTAATTAGAGACAGAAAAATTCCGTCAGTAATTACCGACAGAATTCCGATTCCGTCGCTGATTCTCTCGGTAATTACCGACAGAATAAATTCCGTCGCTAATTCCGTCGGTAATCAGCGACGGAATTGAAATTCCGTCGGTAATCCAATTAGTGACGAAAAAATTAGCGACGGAACCAATTCCGTCGCTAATTCTGTCGGTAATTTGATTCCGTCGCTAATCCATCACTAATCCATCGCTAATTCCGTCGCTAAATAAAAATTCCGTCGGTAAATTCCGTCGCTAATTAGATGTTTTTGGGGTAGTGTTAATGGCCAAGAAAATCCACAAAATTCAATGAAGAACTTCATTCACAACAACATAATCAAAATCAAGTACCAATGGATTAAAATATTGATTGTGTCAATCATCCAGCTAAAAATGAAAATTAGAAATAGAACATAACGTAAAAATATTGTACCCTTCTAATCCTGAACTTCAGCACTAACTGTGCACAACTTAAAGTCCAATATCTGGGATTAGTAAAATCCCATGTATTCTACATCTGATTAGTCCAGAAATTCAGTTCATTGGCTCACATTTCAGGAATTAGCTGTGCTTTAAGCTTCAGAGATACTGACAAAACTTAAAATAGTGGATTGCCTGTACATTTCATCTTCTTTAGTCAAACAGTAGAAATAACGCAAATGGATTAAACGCTTCTGTTTTGAGTAATTTTACTCAAAATAGAGAATATTAGGATGATGTTTACCATTTCTAAATTGGGAAAATGACAAAAAAAAATCCCTAAAGGCATATCGATGTTAAAATATACTGAAGTTTCATAAATAACGTTAAAAATAATGATATGGACTCACCACATAGCATTTAACTAGATCATAGATTAAAAAGAAAAAAAAAAAAGAATAGGTTCTCAAAATGGAAGAAGAATGATTATATAAAAAAAGATAAGTTCTCAAAATGCAATACAGTGAACAGCTCTTAAAACAGACACGGGAATTAAAAAAAGAAGGGACTAAACAGCTGTATTTTGGGACCTACTATTTTTTCCACTTTGTTATCCACATCCACACAGATTTAGTTAGGCGTCATCTGGTGAGTTTATATCACCACTTTAACGTTATTTATGGTATTTTAGTATATTTCAACACCGTTACACCTCTATGGACTAATATTTTAATAATTAAGATAAATTAAATTTCACAGACTAAAATCTTGAGTTTGAAATTTAAGGGATCAAAACCAAAATAACCCAAAATTTCAAGGACGAAAAATTTTATTAACTCTTGATTTAATTAACTTGCAGTTTCTAGCAAATGCAATTTTAGAAAATGTTGGTGTCCTTGAAGGGGGGGAGAGCAGATCCCTCATCATCTGTTCTCTTCATCCCTCATCATCTCTAAATCTCATCCATTCAAGTGATCTAACAGCTTATAATGAACCACAAACCCAGGCTATTAAAAATGAATCTTTACCATCCAAGTGTTTTGATCCTGACTGTAAATTTTCACCTCTACTACTTCCTAATTTCAGCTGGCGGGAAACGGGAAACATTCTCATTATTCCATCATCGACTTTGGAGGAAACCTTTGACATTCATTCTTATTTTGCTGACTTCATTATATGAAACAGCTATTCGTTTCGGTGGCTTCATCTTCGTTCCAAGAGGGGTAAGGCAAAATAACTCTCTCTCTCTCTCTCTAAACAATAGAGAGTATTTTTTTTAAAACGCAAGCTTATCTCTATTTAGAAATTTTTTTTGTTTTGTTGCACCTATTATAAATTTTTTTGGTATGCGTGTTTTTTTTGGGATAGTTGCTTTATATGTTTGATTTCTTAAGATGTTTTTAAATTTATATAGTTTCAAATTTTATTATAAGTTTTTATTATATGTTTTGCATAGACTTATTTTACAGGTCTCAATCTATGGAAGCTGATTTAACTCCTAGATTAGGAAAAGAATTTGATAATCTAGAAGAGGTATGGAAATTTTGGAATGAACATGCCTGTAAAGTGGGCTTTAGTGCAAGAAAAAATGGGCCAACAAGAAGTAAGAAAGATAAAAACACAATCATTGCATATAGATATGTGTGTTCAAAAGAGGGTAAACGAAGACCAGATAAAAGGTATACCTCAGCCACCAATCATCGTCCTGAAACTAGGACCAATTGTAGAGCTGGGATGATAGTTAATTTAGTGCAAGGTAAATTCAAGATCACTAGCTTTATAGAAGAGCATAACCACCCGTTACATCTTCAAGGAAAATAAGTAATGTGCAAGCAGATGAGATTGATTTGGCCCGGGATGCTAGACTTAAACAAAAAGAAACATTTGACCTTATGAGTAAGCAAGCAGGTGGGCAAGCTAATCTTGGTTTCACTCAAGTTGATATGAAAATTATTTGAAGGCTAACGAAGAAGTATGAAGGATGGGGAAGTTGGATGCTTATTGAACTATTTTGAAGAGCAGATTACTGAGAACCCTTCATTTTATCATTCATATCAACTTGATATGGAAAATCAAATTACAAATATTTTTTGGGTTGATGCTTATATGCTTGTAGATTATGCTTATTTTGGAGATGTAATTTCACTGGATACCACATACTGCACAAATTGTAATCACAGGCCTCTTGCCATATTTTCATGTCTCAATCATTATAGAGGAATTGTAATTTTTGGTGCAGCTTTGTTGTATGATGAAACCACAAAATCATTCAAGTGGTTGTTGGAGACTTTCCTGAAAGCAAACAAGCAAAAAAAACTTGCGACAATTTTTACTGACCAAGATGAGGCAATGGCAAGAGCACTACGTGAAGTTATTCCTGAAGTGAAACATGCATTATGCACATTTCATATTGGGCAAAATGGAATAAAACATTTAGGAAACAAGATGAAGGGTGGTTCACATATCATGCGTGACTTCAACAAGTGCATGTTTACTATTGAAGACGAATCACAATTTGAAGAAGCATGGGCTGCTTTAATATCATCATTCAATTTGGAAGACAACTCATGGTTGAAGTCCATATATGAAATCAAAGAGAAATGGGCATGGTGTTATATGAAGTATTCTATTACTCTGGGTATACGTAGCACACAACTAAGTGAAAGCGTTAATGCAGATATCAAGAACATTACAGACCCAAGTGTTGATATTAATGAATTTTTCAGCATTTTAAGAAGGTTGTTGCAAATAAGAGGTAT